CAATAATTCTGGCTGGAATGGCCAGGAGATCCTGGAAGGAACCAGAACTGGAAAGAGTAAAACCTGTTCGTGTTGAACTAACATGATAATCTAGACAAGAGAGGAGGTGGTGGAAAGAAATTCAGGGCTTTGGTTCTATGTAAGAGTGTTAGAAGGGGAGAAACTGTGAGTAACACCTAGATTTCTGCTTTGGGAGACTGACTGGATGTTGAAGCTGAATACTGAACCTTGGGACAAAGGAGGAGTGGCCAATTATTGGAGAACAGTAGTAGTTTGAGACAAATGTGTCCAGGTACATCCAAGAGGTATTTAGTGGGTAGGTAGATGTCCAGGCCAAACGGGAGTGCTGGAGATGGATGTGGGCAGAAGATATACATCTGAAAGCAGTCAATCTGTCTATAGAATCTGAAGCCAGAAAAATGAAGAAGTTGCCCAGGAAGAATATGAAGTATGGGAGAAAAAATAAATCCTGAGTATATCTCTAAAGAATAACAATATTTATAGGATAAACAAAAGAGATATTTTATAACCGAAAAACTATGACCTTTGTCTAGATTCTGGCCACATGTTATCGTGACCATTTAAAACTGTAATTTTCTTTTAAATTCATTTTTATTAACTTGGAAGAAAAATGACTAGGAGTCTGGAAGCCAAAGAAATATACCAGCTGAGCTACTAAAGGAAATGATTAGTGAGTAAATTTAAGCAGGATTCCATAAAATCAGATTTAAATACACTCAGTTTTTTTAAGAGGCAAAATATAGGTTATGAGAGAGCATTGGGGATGAAAATATTTATTAAATCTGAAACTTGTACAAATGAAAAAGACCTTAAAAATTAGATAGTTTAGCTATCTCCTTTTTACATGTAGAAACTGAAATGTAGAAATATCAAGGTAGTTACATAAATTGTAATCAGTTCATGATTCTTCTAGACGAGCAGTTCTCATTGTGTGGTCTGGGAAACCTTGGGAATATAGTAAAGCAGTAGGATACAAAATCAACATACAAAAATCTATAGCATTTTTATACACCAACAATGAACAAAATGCCACAAAAAGTATAAGATACCTAGGAATAAACCTAAATAAAGAAGTGAGAGACTTCTACAAAGAAAACTATGAAAAATTTCAAAAAGGGACCAGCAGTTAGTGTAATGGCTATGTCGCTGAACTCCCATGTAGTCGATTACAGTTCCAGTCCTGGACCCAGTGGCATAAACTCACACTGGGCACGTGTGCATGCGTGCCCAAGATCCCGAGAGGAGAAAGGAGGAGAAGGGATTGTGGCATTGCCATCCCCCCTGGGGGGTGATTTCTCGCTTTCTGTCTCTCTGACTCTCTCTGTCTTTCTGGTGAGCACACGCGCCCTATAGCAAAAACCCCTTGGGAAAAAAAAGAAAAAGAAAAAGAAATGAAAAGTAATACAAAAAAGTGGAAAGACATCCATGTTCCTGAATTGGAAGAATTAGTATAATCAAAATGTCAATTACCTAAGTTAATCCACAAATTCAATGCAATTATGATTAAATTACCAGAGATATTCTTCACAAATATATATAAAAAAAGCAATCATAAAATGTGTGTTAAATAATAAAAGGTCCCATATCACCAAGACAATACTGTACAAGAAGAATAAAGTAGGTGGCATCTCTCTTTCTGACCTCTAAATATATTACAAAACTATGATAATCAAAACAGTATGGTACTGGCACAAAAATAGGCAATGTTGATCAATGGGACAGAATGGAGAATCCAGAAATAAACATACAGCCAACTGATTTTTGACAAAGAGCACAAGATGATACAGTGGGGAAAAGAAAACCTCTTAGGCAAATGATGCTGGAAAAACTGGATATCCACCTGCAGAAAAATGAACCTGGGCCCTTATCTCTCACCATTAACAAAAACATCAACTCAAAATGGATCAAAGATCTGAATGTAAACTTACTGGTAGAAAACACAGGAGACATTGGAGTAGGTAAAGATTTCTTAAATTAGACTCCCAAAGCACAGGCAGTAATACCAAAAATAGACAAGTGGGACTACTTCAGACTAAAAAGCTTCTGCACAGCATAATAAACAATAATTAGAGGGAAGAGACAACTCTAAGAGTAGGAGAATATATTTGTGAACTAAGTCACAGATAAAGGACTGGTAACCAAAATATACAGGGAATGCAAGCAGCTTGCCCACAAAGAAATAATCAATCCAGTTAAAAGATGAGCAAATTAGCTGAACAGACTACTCTCTAAGGAAGACATAAGAATGACCAAAAAGCATATGAAAAAATACTCAACATCTCTTATCATAGGGGAAGTATAAATCAAACCACAATGAAATAACACTTAACCCCAGTCAGAATGGCTAGGATTCAAAAAAAAAAATTAAAGAATTATAAATGCTAGCAAGGCTGTAGTGAAAAGGAAAGGGACCCCTCCTACACTGTTGGTGGGAATGTAAATTAGTGCAGCCACTGTGGAGAACAATATGAAAGTTCCTCAAAAATCTATAAATAGAACTGCCATATGATTCTGTAATTCCACTCCTGGGCATCTATCCAAAGGATAGAAAAACACAAAGTCAAAAAAACCCCAAAAAACAAAAAACAAACAAACAAAAAAACACTTGCCCATCCATGTCTACTGCTGCATTATTCATGATTGCTAAGACATGGAATCAACCCAAATGTCCAAGAGTAGGTGAATGGGTTGAAAAAATGTAGCATATATACTCTGTGAAATACTACACAGCTGTAAAAAGGCAAGGAGATCCTACATTTGATACAAAGTGGACAAATATAGAGGATTTAATGTTAAGCAAAGAAAGCCAGACTATGAAAGAGTCATTGTCTTAGATTGTAGGCCCCCACTTAATATACTGAATATCTTCACTCTATGTCAGAAACTGAAAGGCTGGGAGGTGCAAATGAAGAGTGGGCATCTGTAAGTACTAGAAACAGTATGGGGGGGCTAGTGGGAAGAGGGAGGAGGGGAATCAAGGGAAGAAAGAACATTTAACAGACACAAAAATTAAAAGGTGTCTGTTGATAACGTATATGGTAATGTCTTGGATTAGACTAATATGCAAAATACTCATGCTGGGAAAAATCATTATGTATGCTATAAGGATGTACAGTAATTATAAAAATAACTTATCTTACCAACAATCTTTTATGAGTCCTCACTAAGAATGCAGAGTGTAAAGGGGTACTGAGACCAATAATTTTGAGAACTGGTATCCTAGCCTAGAGTATAAATAGTCATAGAGAGGTCATAATATCAAAAGAAGGATATACATACTTTGCCTTTATTCTCTGGTGATGGAAAGGAAAAAAATATGGAGGAAGTTATTACATTGTATCATTATATAAGAAAAGCAAGAGAAAGCCTTTCCTGGGATGAAGTCCCCCCCCCTCCCATTAAGCAATGAAATAAAATAAAATCCATATGTTTCTTCCCCCCTGTTTGGTCTCCAATGAGGGCAATTAGATCTAGAGTACAAGAAAAATTGAATGAGTTCTGACAACTAGGAAAGCTGACCAAGAGTTTTAAAACAGAAGACTTAAATTAAAACCCAGTACTAAAAATTATCCAGGGTACATTAGGTCTACTCAAATTAGGAGGAAACTAAATAGATTAGGTATGAACTAAGGATAGTTAAAGGTTAGAGGGCAAAGTAATTTATTGTATTTTGGAATTCATATTTCTTTAAATCAAGCTCTCAGTTTTTTATATCATTAAGTTAATAGTAGCATTTATGTTCACTTATTTTGAGACATTATATTTTTAGAGAAAAGTTGTAATCAAGTAGAAATTGAATGCTTTTTAATGCGATTAATGAATTCTGTCAAGGCCAGAGTGTTCAGACCATGAAATTGTGACCCAAGCCATTGTCTTAGATTGTAAGCAGTTCCTGGTAAGAAATAAGTGACCATGATCATGTCATTCATTTGTTTATTCATCCAGTAAATAATTACTAAGTGCCTAAATATGATGAGTTATAAAACCAAGCCTGCAAAGTTAGACCACGAGTCCTGTGGTTTGAAACAAAGATTTGTTTGGTAACAGTATGTAGGTGGGATTGGAGTTGAGGAGGAACCTAGTAGGGCTATAATTTATAAACACAACCCTACTAATATAAACTTCCAGTGGGAAGAAGGTGGAAACTATTTCTTGTCCGTTTTTAGTTTATTACAGTGTGTGTGTGCTCACTGGAGAGAGGCAGAGAGAGAAAGTGAGCAATCTCCTGCAGGATAGATAGCCAAGCGGCAATCCCTTCTCCTCCATTCTTTTCTTGGGTTGGGCACACACACAAAAGCACCTGGTGTGTTTTTCAAGCTGCCAGATCCAGGACTTGAACTATGCTGTCAGTCATGTGGAATCCAGCTGTTTTAACCTCCACGTACCTGCTTGTCCGGAAACTTTATTTTTTAAAACTCTTTGTGAAGTGTGCTTGCAACCACAATCATGAACAAAAATGCATGGGCCTTTCCAAGTAATAAAGGGGATAAAGAAATATGTCAGCAAAGGCCAAGAGCTAATGCATAAGCCATGGCTTTGAATGGCTCGAATACCACATAGAGATGATTTGGCATAACACTGATACTGATTTGAACAGTAGGTCTTGAATTTCACACCAGGAGACAGGCAAACAAAACTCTCAGTTGTGCTCAGTATGGAAGGTTTAAATATACCAACCTTTCAGAAATAATAGGCCAGGAGATTAGGAAGGTCATATGCAGCAGAGTAAAAGCACTTGTTTCTGACTTGGGGAAATCAAAGGATTCTAGTGAGGGAATATTTCTATGTCAACAAAGTGAGTTTAAAGCCAAATGACTTAGGTAGTAATCTTCTAACCAAAGGCACTGAATATTTTACTACTGGCTAAAGCATTAGGCCCATTTCCAAATTGCTTGGCAGGAGGTTTTGGTAAGTCTATCTTTGACAGAGTTCATTGATTTTAACCTGCATTTTCAAACCTTTTTTTTTTTTTTTTTTAGTTCGAAACCCCGAAGGACAGATAAAGCTTTATTCGAAAGGAGCAGATACTGTTCTGTTTGAAAAACTTCATCCTTCCAATGAAGACCTTCTGTCTTTGACTTCCGACCATCTCAGTGTAAGTGCCTCTATCTTATGGTTAGCACAATGACCCTTTTGCCATGTCCTATGATTAGGTCTTAAAAAATATCAGTTAAATGATCTGACTTCGGAAATAGAAAGCATCTGGAGAGCAGTTCCATAGGAAAATGTGCCAATGAATGTCTGGAAATTGGCATACTGGACCCCCCTGCTGGGAGTCCAGTCAGTCTCACCACAGGTGGATTACTACACAGCAGCTGAGAAGTGGCAAAGGAGTGTGGGCTCCTGAACTCCAGCCAGAGCAAGGCTCAGGGTTGTCTCAGGACCACCCAGGGAAACCTACCCTAACTCTCCTGCAGCTTTACACTGCCTGCCTTTGGAAGACTGAACTAATTCTGGGAAGAGAAGCTGGAGAAGTGCTTTTCCCTGGGTTCTGACATGTCTGGTGCCAATGGACTCTCTTATGATTACATAATTGCAGGGAATAGTTTAGGGTGGCATTTAGATGGTGACGGGAAAATAATCTCTGTAGCCAACTTTTTTCTCAGTGTCCTTTTATTCAAGTCATAAATCATGATGAGTCCCATGTGTCCCCTAGAACACCAAACTTGTGTACATTCTGAGACCAACATGATTTCTTACCAAAAGCTTGATGAAGGGAGCAGGGTGATCTTTGATACATTTTCTTTTCATGCCTTTTGCCTTTCTTTTGTATGTGTGTGTGAGCAAAGGATTAAGCACCTACGAATTGACATAAAAATTACTAAATGACTTGGTTTAAACCTGAGGTTTAGGCGTCTCTAAGATTCATTTATGGTTTCACTTAACCCCATGTGAACTTTAAGGGCAACGGGTCAAAACTCTCATTTCCTCATTGGTTTCTTTTCTTTAAGAAATTATTGAGGATTCATGTTCTTTGTTAGGCCTTATATTTAATACAAAACATTCCCTGAATCTTTAAAAAACAAACAAACAAGTAAAATTTAAAAACTCAGCCTGACTTTAAGTTTAGAAAATGATGGCTTAGTAATATTGGTTACAAACATAGCTATTGTTTTTGTCTTTCCAATAGAGCATTCTTGATTTTCTTTTAATCTCTTCCAGAAGGTCGGCATGGTCTTTATAATTTTTTTTTTATGAAAACAACATTGGAATTATAAGTATCTGATTTTTGCCATTACTCAAACACCAAGGCCCTGGATTTTCATATGTTCTTCTTTTATTCTGAAGAGTAGGAAACATAATTTGGTCTTTTTACATTTCTATGCAAGAGAATTTTTTTTTCAGGTAATATCAATTTGACTCGCTCTTTGCTTCATTCACTTAATTCATTTTGGCTTCTAGACTCTGAGGTTTTAAATTTGTATTTAATTATTGATTTTGAATTGTTTAATGATAGGAAAAGACCTTGCTCAAATGCTTATTTAGAATTAAACTTGCATTTCATGCCCTAATTAAATAACTTAAATCATCTGTCCCCTTTTGTAATGTCATCTTCGAGTTAATTAACTGTTCTGTAGAACAGAGAGGAAGGCACTAGTAATGCCCAGTGGGGTTGCGAGTTAAAGGCAAAGAAGTATTTGTGCGAATTAGGACAAAAGATCATTACAGGGCAGTAACTGGATTTTCAGATCAGTAGGGGATCCAGTGGTGGTCTTGGAAGGCAGGCCTTGTAAAATGTGATTGTAATATCCCAAGTGCTACTAACTTCCTATGAGATAAATTCGAATAATTTTTCTCATGGTTTCTCTGAGCTAAACCATATCATCGCAGTGTATGCTAACTTTTCTTCCTATTTACTCTAATTGGGTTGTGTCACAGTTTAACTGATGCCTGATCATAAACCTGTATCTGTACCATAAGCCAAGACATAACAGAGAAGACATGCTCAATAGCAATGCCCGAAGGAACAGTAATGACTATAAACCACTTCACTTGCAGTGTAGACAGCCATAAAATGACCACCGCAGGCTTGGGCAAAGTGGGAGGTTTTAGCCTTTCCCTAAAGCTATTTACATATGTTCCTAGCTATTCTGGCTTTGCAAGACCACAATACTAGTCTTATTTTTCAGCCCTCTTAGAAGGATAAAGCACCAGAAGTATCATTTGAGATGGTCAGTTTACTGAGGCACAAATGGAAAATTATGGTTCCCTACTGAATTTGACTATTAAATGCTAACTCTATAGAACAGTTTCTAAAAAAATAATTTTTAAACTAACCAAACTGATTTGATGTGGTGTCTTTAAAATTTCAAACAACTTTTACTGTTAAAATTTTAGTATAGCAAAAGTAAAATATTTCACAGAAGATTTTAGAATGAAAAGTCAGCCTCCATTTCTAGTCCCGCTGCCCAGAAGCAACCGCTGATGTTATCTTTTCTTCCTTCCTCTTCTGACCTTAGTAATGTGTTTCAACTTCTATTATCTGATTAATTAACATCTATTTATTTTTTTCAGCTTTTTATTATGGAAATTTTCAACTATATACAAAAGTAGGACTCAATTAATTTTAGGTACAGATATATTTACCAGGGGGAATACAACAAGATTTTAATGAGATGTGCTATGAGCCTCCTGCCTTTGATTTGAGAACTGTGGCTCCTATTAAGGTTCCTTCCTCTTTACTGGAAGCTGAAAGTCATAAAATGGGCTGAGTCCTCTCCCCTTTTTTAAAAGAGAGATTTTTGCATTAGGGTGCTTGTGCTCACCAGAGTGAGAGACAGAGAGTGAAAAATCACCCCCTGGGGGATGGCCCCACTGCAGTCCCCTCTCCTCCATTCTTCTCTCAGGATTTTGGACTTGCAAACACACATGCCCAGTGTGTTTTAAGTCACTGGGTCCAAGACTCGAAACATAGTTGACTACTATGAGGGAGTCCAGTGATGTAACCATTATGCCATGTGCTGGTCCTAAGGGCTGAGTCCCTTTTATGACCAGGTATGTTTCCCTCTAAGGATTGGTTGGAAACCAATAGATGTTACTTCAAATGGGTATCTCAGATCTCATGTACCATAGAACACCTTTCAACTAGATACCTTAGTAGGTATTTCAGCTGTTGGGAGGAAGAAGAAGACTATCTCCCCTGAATATTTTTTTAAAGAATTTTTATTTAACTCAATTATTATTATTTAAGTTGAGAGACAGAGAGAAGGAAAGTGAGAAAGCAAGACACTAGGTCTGATACTCAAACTGCAATTGGCCATGTGGGAGTCCAGTGCCCTTAACCACTATGCCACCTGCCAGCCCCTCCCCTGAATGTTTTAACTCTTTAGGAATAAAATATAAAATACAAACCTTACCTCTCATTTCTGAGGCATTTCAAAAGTTGGAGATCAGGATAGCCAAGCAGTACTCTTGGGGAAAAAGTAAATTTGAGTGAGAAAATATATACCTATTATTGTTGTTATTGCTGTGCTCATGGATTTTTTGATGGTCCCTAAGTCCTTGTCTTCTCTGATAGGAATTTGCAGGAGAAGGACTTCGAACTTTGGCCATCGCATACAGAGATCTAGATGACAAGTATTTCAAAAAGTGGCATAACATGCTTGAAGATGCAAATACTGCCACAGATGGGAGGGATGAACGGATAACTGGGCTTTATGAAGAAATTGAAAGAGATTTGATGGTATGAATTTAGAAGTGTGTGACTTATATTTATAGAAAGGCTAGTATATGTTTAGATATCTGGCATAGACTGTTGATTAAATCATCTTACACACAGCAGATGTTACTCTTTCAAATATTGAATTATGCTTTACGTGTTGACTTTGTATTTGCCATGTATGGTCCTGGAGTGCCTAGAGGGTTATTTCTCTTAGAAGTAGCCTATGCAATGGGAAATCTTCCAAGCGTTTAAGATAGTGGTGATTTTTTTTTCTTTAAAAAAAAATCTCTATTCTTTTTTTTTTTTTTCAATCTTTTGTTTTTAGGTCTTTGCCATAGGGTGCACAAGCTCACCAAAGAGAGAGAGACAGAGAGAGGTAAAGTGAGAAATCAGCTCCCAGGGGGATGGCCGCACCACAGTCCCTTTTCTTTCATTATCTTCTCTGGATTTTGGGTATGCACACACACACGCCCAGCATCATTTTCAAGCTGCTGAGCCCAGGACTCAAATCACAGTTGACCATGTAGCAATCTAGTGCCTTAACCACCAAGCCACCTGCTGGTCCCAGGCTCTCTATTCTTTGACAGTCTCTGGTGTTTTTTGATGTTAAAGGTTTTTTTTTTTTCACCTTTGCTATCTGACCCACCTTTTAAGAGTAGGGAAACTAGCTATGAAGAGTGAGGCTATAGCTATAAATCATTGTAATCCCATGAGATGCATCCATGCCATCTGTACTATTCAGAGTGTAGCTTATTCCAGGTACTACTCTCCCTTGAGGTTCCAGTAGCAGAGAAGAAGAAAGAGAGTGCGAGGAAGGGAGAAGGGGAGAGTAGAGAAGAGGAAGAACTAGGTACTCAGTCATTATGAGGTACTTGTGAATATGCCTTGTTATCTTTGGATGAAAAATTACACAGGGGGAACCAGCAGTTGGCATAATGGCTATGTCGCTGGACTCCCATGTAGTCGATCGTGGTTCGCGTCCTGGACCCGGTGGCTTAAAACTCACGCCGGGCGCGTGTGCATGTGTGCCCAAGATCCTGAGAGGAGAATGGAGGAGAAGGAATTGCGGCATGACCATCCCCCCTGGGGGGTTTATTGCTTTCTGTCTCTATGTCTCTCTCTGTCTGTCTGGCGAGTGCACGCGCCCTACAGTGAAAATCCAAAAAAAAAAAAAAAATCTCTCCAAAAAAAAAAAAATTACACAGGAACTTTCACTTTTTAGTTGATGGCATCGGTTGGTTTGTTAATGTAGAAAAATGATTCTACTTTTTTGTGATCAGCTTCCTCACTTTGAGGTGAGGACTTTTCTTTGGACCCCTTCATTGATTTTTTTTTTTTGAGAGGTTTTCGCTATAGGGTGCGTGTGCTCGCCAGACAGAGAAAGACAGAGAGACAGAAAGCAAGAAATCACCCCCCAGGGGGGATGGTCACACTACAATCCTCCTCCATTCTCCTCTCGGGATCTTGGGCACGCACACTCACGTGCCCGGCGTGAATTCTAAGCCACCGGGTCCGGGACGCGAACCGCGGTCGACTACGTGGGAGTCCAGCGACATAGCCATTACGCTAACTGTTGGTTCCCAAGACCCCTTCATTGTTAATATAAGAGGGAAAGAAAATGGGGAGTTCTTAACTCCTTAAAGGCCCAAATGACATCTGACCATTTAAGTTAACATGTTATCTGATATCAGTACCCTTAAGTAAATTCTAACTCCCACCAAATTAGTTTGATTTGGGAACTTCCTTTTGGGGTTTTTCCCAATCCACTTCTGCACATAATAGGACATTTGCTATATTAATATATGATAATTTCTGTCTTCCATTCATGTTCCTTGACTTTTGAACCCTGTAATTGAAAAGCACAGATGTTACTGATATTGTTTATATATATTAATATATTCTTTATTTTTAATAAAGCTGCTAGGTGCCACTGCTATAGAAGATAAATTACAAGAAGGTGTTATTGAAACAGTTACAAGTTTATCTCTAGCCAATATTAAGATCTGGGTCCTAACAGGAGACAAACAAGGTAATTTGAAAATGAATGATGATGGTATTTTGAAAAGGGGGAGGTGAATTCTATAGTAAAATTTTAATTGACAAAGAAAGCTTAATTAATTAGATAGTTCCCTAGTCCTCCACATACGAAAGAGTTAAAAGTTAAAGAAAGAAGATAATATATTGCAAGAACTATTTAAAAAGAAACAAAACCAAATTAACAAAATACCTTCCATAGCTTATATCCTGGGATCATTTGAATTTCAGTCCAATTGCCTTTTAAATGTAATTGTTACACCTGTAGACAACAGTAATATTAAAAATGTTTAGCAATTGCCTCATATGAGCACTGTCTCCATTCAGGACAGATATTGGCACAGCACTCTTATTTGGAGACCTGAAGTTACTCTTTTAGTTTTTTGATGGTAGCGAGGTTTGAGAGATCTTATGAGAGGAGTCAGGGTGATGGACATGCTTTAAGGAGGCTCAGGGGAACAGCTCTGTATCAGCTGTTTATAGAACCATTTTGATATTTTAACAATCACCACGGTTGTACTAGTGCAACCTGGCTGAGTTTCAGGACTGCCCATACAATGGCACAGGAAAAACTGACCCACTTTGAGGCATGACAAAATGCCAAGTCAACAGAGGAAAGATTTTGTTCAGAATACTGTATTTTCTAAGAAATAAAAGGAGATGAATACATTTTGGACGTATTGCTAATACAAATGGTTGAAAGAGTTTGTGCTCAGCCATCAGTACACTGAAAATTCAATGAACTGATTTACACTTGTTTTTAAGATTCTATTTGGTAGATTTTTTTTTAGAGTATTGGGATATTTGTAGATATTATAAATCAGTTCTCTGTCTGTTTATCCAAGTCATTGACTATAAAAGTAAAGAGTTGATCTCTCTGCTAAATGACTATATAGAAACTCCTTAGAGTTTGATATTGATTAATGGTTACAGCTGTTTAGTTATTACAAATATCTAAAATTAATTATCACCTGGCATTTATTTCTGTGGTTTATGCAAAGGACATGCTGAGAATTTATCAATTGTCTTCCTTAACTTAGAACAAAACTAATGCTTCTATAGAATTAACTAGTGTCTAATGATTCTATAAAGATGGACAGAATCAAATGACTATATCGAAGGTAGAAGTTACCTACCTAATTATCCCAGGCTCCATTTCTATAAGGTTAGAGGAAAGGACTTCCCAATATAATTCAATTCTCTAACAAAGCAGTCCTGGGTGTTTTTTTTTTGTTGTTGTTGTTGTTTGAGAGGTTTTTGCTATAGGGAACGTGAGCTTGCCAGAAAGACAGAGAGAGACAGAGAGGTAGAAAGCAAGAAACCACCCCCTGGGGGGATGGCCACACTGTAATCCCTTCTCCTCCATTCTCCTCTTGGGATCCTGGGCACACACGCACACATGCCTGGTGTGAGTTTAAGCCGCTGGTTCCAGGACTCAAACCACAGTCAGCTACATGAGAGTTCAGTGACATAGCCATTATGCTAACTGCTGGTCCCTGTCCTGGGTGGTTTTTGAGTGGATTTTCAAATTCCAAATTTGTATTTATTTATGGAACAATGGCAACGTTGTATGTGGTAGAACTGTAAACATTTTGTAAGAGCATTCTTGCTTAACTGGACATTTTTTGAGCCTTTAATTTGTCTACCACATCAGAATCAAGTATTAGCTAATTTTAGCATTTTAGCTCTCTAAAAGCAGAATTTAAGACTTCTGGTCAAAAGTTTTATATCTGTACATGTCAATATATTGCAAGATCATAGGATATTTTCATGAGTGCTCATTTGAGGATCAAAAGATTTTTCTGAAAACTAGAGAGACTGAAGGGTCATAGATGTTGTTACCTTTTCATGGGTGTAGAAAGTGATAAATTTGATCACAGAACCCAGCTCTTTGAATTTCCCTCTGAGTTGCTTGTATTTTGTTACTCATGGTGTTCTCCCTGGCATTAGGCTATACGAAAACAGGGCTATGGCCTCAAAACCTCTATGAAAAAACCTACTTATGTTGTTAAATAATGTTTTAACTGAGATGCACTTTATTTTGCATAAGAAACTGCCATCAACATTGGTTATGCTTGCAACATGCTGACGGATGACATGAATGATGTGTTTGTGATATCAGGGAACACTGCAGTGGAAGTGAGAGAAGAACTCAGGTAAGTGATGAAGGAAGGAGGAAAGGAAAAGGGTGGGAAGGAGGGGAGGAAAGAAGGAAGATGAAATAGTTAAAATGGAAAGGTCCCAACTTAGGTAGACCTCTTTCTGCATGTTTTCTAAACTCCCATTAATTTTGGTGACAACCTAAGGAAAGTTTGACATTAGAAGTGAATCATTATCTTCAGTCCTCCAGTGTTTCCCAAGTATTTCTAGAAAAGAATTTCAAATAATTTATGTTGAGTTATCCTCTAAAATTTGCATTCGTGATGCTCTTATGTGGTGACAAGTGCTCAGTACCAAGAGGGCACAACAGGGAACTTGGGAATTTATATTAAATGAGTACCTTGATGAACGTTAATTAGAGAAGTTTGGAAAATACGGCAGTACCAGTGAAGTAAGATAAAAATGACTGTCTTTTCTTCTTCCTAGAATGTAGTGCAGACTGGAAAAAGCTTTTGTTTTAGGTCTAGGTCATGCTGCCTAGGTCAGTCACTGAGCCAACAGTGTAAGAGGTCTCTCCAGAGCAAATAGCAGAGTTTTTTCTTTTTTTTCTTTCTTTTTTTTTTTTTTTTTTTGAGAGGCTTTTGCTATAGGGCACATGCGCTCGCCAGATAGACAGAGACAGAGAGATAGAAAGTGAGAAATCACCCTCCAGGGAGGATGGCCACGCCACAATCCCTTCTCCTCCATTCTCCTCTCGGAATCTTGGACATGCACGCACACGTGCCCGGCATGAGTTTTAAGCTACCGGGTCTGGGACGCGAACTGCGGTTGACTACATAGGAGTCTAGCGACATAGCCATTACGCTAACTGCTGGTCCCAGCAGAGCTTTTTCATCTCCATCTTAAAACTTAGTTATTTTGTGATTCCATTTTGGGCCTACATTGTAGCTATATTTTTAGGGTCTCTTTCTCCTGTCTCAGTAGTGACATGGAATAGTCTCTCAACATTAAATAAAGTATTTTCATATAGTTTCTGTTGAACCCATATATTCACTGCTTATGAGAAATAGAATACTGTGGAATTTGTGTATTTGCTATGTAGTGCATAGCTGAAATTGGAGGGAATAGTGAACAAGCATTAAAATGAAAGAATATTTATTTTTATAGACACAGATCAGTTTATTTTTAACACCCATTATGTCATGAATTCTTAGGGAATAGGTTCCAGTAGCTCAGGCTCCTTTCCATTGGTTCTCACAAAGTGTGCTTCTCTGGGTGGAGCAGGCTGGCACTTTAGTTGAACCCAGATACCTTTCTCTTTGGCTTCTTTCTTTTTCTGATCATTTTCCTTCACATGTTTTAGGAAGCTATCTCTGCTCTTAGAATGCTTACTATGCTCAATATGCACATTAATTCTCTTGGCAAGAATATTGCCCTTAACTTGTTTGTTCACAACAATGCCAACAGCATGCTGGGTAACATTGTAAACTCTTCCAGTTTTGCCATGGTAACATTTGTGGGGCATTCATTTTTTAACAGTACCCATTCCCTTAATGTCTACAATATCACCTTTCTTATAGATTCACATATATGTTGCCAAAGGAACCACTCCATGTTTTCTAAAAGGCCAAGAGAACATATATTGGACGCGAACTGCGGTTGACTACATAGGAGTCTAGCGACATAGCCATTACGCTAACTGCTGGTCCCAGCAGAGCTTTTTCATCTCCATCTTAAAACTTAGTTATTTTGTGATTCCATTTTGGGCCTACATTGTAGCTATATTTTTAGGGTCTCTTTCTCCTGTCTCAGTAGTGACATGGAATAGTCTCTCAACATTAAATAAAGTATTTTCATATAGTTTCTGTTGAACCCATATATTCACTGCTTATGAGAAATAGAATACTGTGGAATTTGTGTATTTGCTATGTAGTGCATAGCTGAAATTGGAGGGAATAGTGAACAAGCATTAAAATGAAAGAATATTTATTTTTATAGACACAGATCAGTTTATTTTTAACACCCATTATGTCATGAATTCTTAGGGAATAGGTTCCAGTAGCTCAGGCTCCTTTCCATTGGTTCTCACAAAGTGTGCTTCTCTGGGTGGAGCAGGCTGGCACTTTAGTTGAACCCAGATACCTTTCTCTTTGGCTTCTTTCTTTTTCTGATCATTTTCCTTCACATGTTTTAGGAAGCTATCTCTGCTCTTAGAATGCTTACTATGCTCAATATGCACATTAATTCTCTTGGCAAGAATATTGCCCTTAACTTGTTTGTTCACAACAATGCCAACAGCATGCTGGGTAACATTGTAAACTCTTCCAGTTTTGCCATGGTAACATTTGTGGGGCATTCATTTTTTAACAGTACCCATTCCCTTAATGTCTACAATATCACCTTTCTTGTAGATTTGCATATATGTCGCTAAAGGAACAACTCCATGTTTTCTAAAAGGCCTAGAGAACATACATTGGGTGCCTCTCTTCTTTCCCTTTGTGTTCGTCATTTTGGTTAATTACTAGAAGATGGCGGGTCTGGCCAAAAGGCAAAATGAAAGATTATTTCTAAATATCTACCAATTTATTTTAACTCTTTATTTTGTGTTAATTCTTTAACTTTTGTTAACGAGAACTTTAAAAAATGCTATCTTATAGCATTTTTCTGCTTGCTGCTTTTCATAGTAGCTTCTCTAAACTCAACCTACTTTGTGTCGGGCCAAGCATGTTGCTGACTTAGAAGCAAACTGCTTGCCACTTGCTGCACTCCTATGGCACTAACCTTCCTTCAACACAACACTAGAGCATTGTGACTTTCTTAATATGCCTCCATCAGGAAAATAAAGGCAGTCTTAAATAGCACATTTTGTTCAGAACCTTGAAAAGAAAGGAAGTCTTAGCAGACTTTTCACCAGTCGGCTGTCATTTGTGCTTCCTTCCCTCCCTGGTAGCTATCATAGTGGATGGCATCCAGGAGTCAAGTTGGTCGAATTTCCTCCAGGAAGACAAAGACTCAGACTAAGAAGCTACTCTTTCAGCCTGGAGAACTGTGAGGAGCAAGGGTACCAAGGGCAGGCCTGAGTTACTGATTGCATTCCACCAACTAGTAGGAATGGTCAGAGCCAGCTTTAGGTTCCTGGATTGGTTTGCCCCTTCTCCACTCCACAGGTTGACATGGGATGGCCCTAGCATCCCATCTACAGGCAGGAATGATCAGAACTGGCTATAGTTACCTAGGTCAGCCTGCCCCTTCTCTACTCTACAGGTGCACACCAGGAAAACCCTTGCAAGCCCACATGCTGGGGGCATTATTTCTCTTTCCTTCTTGCATTAAGCCTGCACTGCTCAGCTCTACTGCTTCTAGAACAGAAAGGATGAGAGAGAATATACCCACCTCAAGATAGTGAGACTCTGGAGAAACTATTTTTCTATCTTCCTCCTTTGGAGGAATTAAAGGAGAGAATCTCTTTTCCTTAAAGTCAAAACTCCAAAACTCCAACTATGGATTCTAGCACACTCCTTCCCATAGGAAGGATATTTTTAAAATGCTAAAAGAAAAATAAAATAACCAAGAATTTTATACTTGGCAAGATTATCTTTCAAATGGGAAGAAAAATTAAAATCATTCTCAGGTAAACAAAAATGGAAAGAATTTACCAACACTAGATCCACATTCTCAGAAATACTGAAAGGAGTTCTATATAAAGGAAACTAAAGAGAGAAAAACAGAAATATGATAATATGAATAGGGGGACCAGCAGATGGCATAATGGCTACATCACTGGACTCCCATGTAGTTGACCATGGTTCGAGTCCTGGACCCAGTGACTTAAACTCACGCTGGGTGTGTGTGTGCACATGCCCAAGATCCTGAGAGGAGAATGGAGGAGAAGGGATTGTGGCATGGCCATCCCTCTGGGGGGTGATTTCTGGCAAGCACATGCACCCTATAGCAAAAAGATCTCAAAAAAAAAAAAAAAGATAACATTAATAACCAAGGAAAAGGCTAGCACAATGGCAGGGATAAGTCTGCAATATCAATGCCATTGAATGTTAATGAATTCAATTCTCCAATTAAAAGACACAGACTGGTTGAATGGATAAACATACAGGAGCCCTGTATATGCTGCTTGTAAGAAACACTTCATTGATAGAGGTACACATAGATTGAAAGTGAAGAGCTGGAAAAAGACATTCCATGCAAATGGAAATTTTTTTAAAAGGCTGGAGTTGCAATACTGATATAAGACAAACTAGACTAAATAAAAAACTAAGAGACCAAGAAGGATACTATATAATACTAAAAGGGCTAATTCACCAAGAAGATACAACACTTATAAACTTACTCAATTTTATTTCCGATTGCCACCACCTAAGGTGAGGCCTCCATTATGAGTCATGGATATGATACCAATTATAATACATTATGCCAGGTTAATCTTCTGTAGACTACTCTTTTTGCTTGGAATGAATTCTCCTTAGTTTCTGTCTGAGTAGACTCCATCTCTGTATTAAACTAGTCTTCTACCCAAAGAAACTTTCTTAGTCCTTTGGCTAGATAATTAAACTTGAGTTCGATTGCAAGAGAAGTCCTCAAAAATACTCAAATACATGGAAACTAAATAACCTACTCCTGAATGACTCCACAACTACTGGAGAAATAAAGACTGAAATTAAAAGATTAATGGAAGCCAATGACAATGAGGACACGAGTTTCTATAATCTTGAGGACACTGCTAAAGCAGTCATAAGAGGGAAGTTCATAGCAATTAGTGCACATAAGAAGATGGAAAGAAGGCAAATGGATCACCTAACATCATGCCTCAGAGGACTGGAAAAGCAACAGCAAAAAAATCCAAAAAACTCCAGGAGAAAAGAAATAATAAAGATACGATCAGAAATAAATGAAATAGAAAATAAATGAACTATACAGAAAATAAATGAAAGTAAACGCTGGTTCTTTGAAAAGATAAACAAAATTGATACCAGGTGAATCAGATCTGCAATGAAGCAGGCAAAATAACAACAGACATAGTAGAAATACAAAACATTATTAG